CGCAAGCAAAAATGTATTCAGCTCAGATGTGTGTGTATGTCAGATTTGTATGTAAAAATAACAAATTAATAAATTACACTTTGCAGAAATAAACAAGTTTTGAATGCAATAGAATTCACAGTTTCTCTCTATTCTAACTAAAACATAATAGAAACTAAGATATTAACAACATTAAAAATCACCAACAACCACCACCACCACCAAGAACCTACAACAACTACCAATAACAACACACCACCACCAAATACAACCAACAACCACCGACAATAACTACAACCAACAACAACAGCACCACCACCAACAACAACAACAAACCAATCACAACCAGCAACAACCACCACCAATGATAACAAATGGCAACAACCACAAACATCTGCCAACTACCACCAACAACAACAACCAACTACAACCACCACAACCAACATTAATAATAACCAACAGATACAACAACCACCACCAGTTATCTTAAAGCAAATATGTAGAGACACATGTATTTCACCCAACAGGTATTATATTGTGGTTTGTGCATTATATGGCACATTTTAAAACCATGTTTGAACATCCCTTCGTTCATTTTGTGTCTCTGCCACCCTCACAGCCTGAAGTGAGCATTCTCTCTTCCTTAAACACTGTATGTGTGAAACGCTTCCATTCACCTGTGAAGGTTTGACTGTTTGGCCCCACCCTGGAAACAGGTGCACGTCTATTGTTGTTTTCTCTGCCCTGTCACCATAGAGGCTGAACAGACTGTACCAAGGGATTTTCTCTGGAGGGGGGTGACACATGAGTCTTTCCTCTCTATGAACTTGACACACCTGAGTAACACGTGTGTCCCTTAGCAGCTGGTGTAGGTGCACGTCTGAACCATTTTAACCCATCGAGCAGAAAAGGCTGAAATGATCTGTTGAGGATTACTGGGATAAAGAGAAAGATTACAGATACTTTTTTCTGTTGTGTTAAATTTATTCTAACCTATTTCTTTATAACTTTTCAAGTGTTGATGAAAAGTCCACCCCCCCGTCTGTGATAAAGTAGAGCAGGCCATTCACTGCCCAGTCACAGCGATGAAGGGGAGGAGTCGGGGGAGATATCTGGCTACAGAGCTTCAACAAGGGACAAATGATACACACACTTTAAGAAACATACACAGCAGACACAGCTTGTACTTAATGGATATACACACACCGACCATGAAACACACACATACACTATCCACACTTTATCTCCTGTCACACAAGCTAGATAGTCATGTACTTTCTAATCAAGGCACACCCACAGTAGCTATTGATTAATAGATTAAAACACCCTTAGATGCACACAGCACAGGTAGGAGCCATGGCGTTGCACCGGCAGGCTTTGTGGTTTACTGGTTAGCCGTCACGCCAGAGCGAGGGATGGCACTCCTCACATCTGCTGAGGACGACCTGGACTGCTCCTACCAGGAGGATGAGGATTATGATTGTCTGCCCATTCGTGGGAGCACAGAGCAGGAGGGTGAAGAGGAGAATGTGGAACAGGAAGAGGAGTATGTCTGTTTTCCCACTCGAGGAAGTACAGAGCAGGAGGAGGAAGAGGAGATGGATGAAGAGCAACAAGTTCTGTGTGAAGGTAGATGGTCATCTTTGATTCCGGGCATCTTCTCTGATGTGCACACATCATTCTCTTGGTTCTAGTCTTTCGAGCACAGTGTATCTGACCTGGATCAACAGTTTGTAGAGTATCATGTCTCCTGTGGCTTTATCCTGCAGGTGCTGTCCTTTATGTTTGTGTTGTATCTGATCTCAGCCCAGTGTGGTTCATTTGAGGATCTGATCAAATATCAGTTTGGCTCTTTATTCTTCATTAAGTACCAGCATGCTCCAGTTTACACTTAGGATATCAGAGAAATACACCTACAGGACATACAACTACAAATACACCTACGCCAACATAAATGTACATTTTCCAGCAGGTATGGAGGACCGTTCTATAATTTGATTAAAATGGGCTTTTATATCAAAATAAGAAAAATTCAATGGTTACTCTGTGTTCTGTATTATCAGAGGTATTTGGAGCACTGCAATCTCATGTCTCCACTTACTGTGGAATAAACCTGTTTTATAGTGGCAGTCAGGATGAATATCAACCCAGGTCCAATAAAGAAGCAGTACTCAGTTCCACAGACGTTGTTGGGGAAAGGATTAGACCTGACAAGGATAACATTTTCTTTTCAGTCCAGTGTTGGTGACTGTTGTCTTTGAACCTGTGTGTTGTCTGTTGCCCAGTAGCAGTCAGGATTATTAGGTTGTTAGGTTGTCTGTATCTCCAGACCTCTGGTTCACTCAGCCCCCCTGCTGCAAAGCAGACAGACACAAAACAAGCAGAGTCTGCTAATGGATTCATATTAAGGTTCAATCACCTTTGAATTAAAACCTCTCTTTTACAAGTATCTGCTCTGAGGCAGGTGATAGCACCTGTTGTGACCATGATTCAAAGACTTGAACATGTTTCTCCTTGTTATCCTCCATGTGACAAAGGAGAGGGAGCTGTCTAAAATTACCTGTTCTCAGTATAAAACACCAAGAAAACATGCTGATCATCTTCCAGCATTAGGTTACACACTGATGGCTGGTGTCTTTCCCTCACCACCCAATACAGTAAATCATTGAAGTAATTACTTTGTCACTAACAGACCAGGAAATTGTTCTGTTTTTCTTCAGAGTTTTATTCCTGGTGTTTTTGAGTTGCAGTCTGGCAGAGATCCCAGACCCCATTTGTCATATTCAATTCAACCTTGTGTGTGTTTCCACATTGCTGCCCCCCTCTTGTATACTATCACTAAATTGTGCTGATGGAAGTTAGCCTGTGCTGATGGAAGTTAGCCTGCATACATGTACTTTTATTCATCCCTTTCTTGTGTGTTTTTATTAATCACTTACAGTAATAGACTGAATAGGGCGGGGTGAAATAAATGGGTATGTTTTTCAATAGAAAGCAAACTCACAGACACAAAGAAAGCATGACAGGATAACAGGCTGCACCTTGTGCTGTTAAGTGAACAATCTCATTTTATTTGTTGTTACCATGTAGCTCAAATCACTGAAACTTTCCTGACCTATGTACAACCTTGAAAATGAGTTCAGTGCCTCTGAAACTGCTCAGAAGCTTGAATGCCTTTTCCAATTTGGTTTGAAAAGTGTGTGTTATTCAATGATGCTGATGTGGAAGGTTCTTAACTTAAGCACAGTCAGTCTTCTGTCTTTGTTTTTAGCAGCCATGCACGTCCTGTGACGAGTGAGGATATGATAATAAGCTTTATTTGCATTGGCCAGCTCTATTTTGCATTCTGAGGCCTCAGACTATTTCTGTGAAAACTGAAATAGTCAAATGTTCTCTGTTGTAAATGCATTTATCATCTTATCTCAATGAGAGTCCTGGCACTTAACATATGGCACATGAAGATGATGAAATAAAAACATCCTTCTTATTCACCCCTCTGTGAATGTGACTTTGTTACCTTGTTTAGATAGTTGCTGTACAAATAAATGTATTATTATTATTACCTACGGAAAATTCTAATGAACCAAGGACCTCATTTATTATCAATGAGTTACTTTCAAAGAGCATAGAATTCTTTTGTTATGCCCCAGACAGGCTCACAGTGATTAAGTGATATATTCTGTTACTGAGATCTGTCTGAATTTTGACCTCTGTACTGAAAGCTAACTTTGATGAGCTCATAATGAACTTGTTCTGCTGTATCAGGAATAGCAGCACTGGGGTGTGGCTCTCCACAAATCAATGTGGAGTGTGTGTGTACGTGTGTATGTGTGTGCATGTGTGCGTGTGCTGCTCCCAGTATGTAATCTAACATGTGTCCACATTGTGCGTTAGAAACAATGAGAATCTTATGTAATATACGGTCAGGTTATCTGTTGACAACGACTGCACCTCATTTATATCAGAGGGTGGAGTGGAGTAAATATTAGAAACACCCCAGTGTTTGTTTGAAAGCATGCGTTCAGTCATTTTCCTGCTCTGTGTCATATTTTATTACAGGTTTTAGATACTGCAGCTGTAGATAGAAAATAGATTTTCAACAATTACTCAATCCTCAATTTTTTTGCCCACAAAAGGAACAACATACACACATTTAGCAACCTTTTCTAACCTACAATAGAAAAAGTTGACAATTGATTTCGACATGAGAGATGCAATCACAGTGTCAGTACTGTAGAAGAGATGAAGCTGCTCCTGATGCTTGGAATAAATGTTATACAGTAACACATTTAATACATGGTGCACTATCATGCTTTCTTACTAAATGCACACTGTCATCTTTTGGGGGTATTTTCTGTCCTGTCCATCCTTCCACCCATTATCTTTACTGCTTACCCTTTGAGGGTTGTGGGGGGCAGAGCTGTCGTTGGGGCAAAAGGCAGGAGGCACCCCGGACAGCTCACTGCCATTTCACAGGGCAAACATATAGAAACAAACAACTCATATTCACACCTATGGACAATCTATTCTGAAATTAACTTAACCTCAATCTAGGTCAAGACCCATATCTCTACTTCTCTGCCTGTCTTTGGCCTGCCCCTCTGTCTCTTGCCACCTGGAGTCCATCTCAGCTTTATGGATCATATCAGCGAACATCCTCAGGACATTACCGAGCCATCTGATCCCTCTCGTCTTGATATCTAGGGACATGTTCCTTCTTTTGCAGGTCCTCATTGGATATTTTCTTTGGCCATTAGATCACATTGCCTTTGTTCATGACTTTCTGCACCACTCCTCACCACTCAGAAAAATATTGCGGTTTAGAGTCTAATCTTTGTGTTGATGCTGTACAGGGCTGGACTTCCAGATGTTACTGAGTCGACTGTAAGCGCCTCTTGCTTTGTTGAGCTGGGCCTTGATGTCCTTTTGGGCCACTGTGAGGTGAACAGTGCTAACCACTGCACCACCATGCCGCCCTGTCTGCCTCATAAAGACTTTTCTTTGTCTCTGTGTCTGTGCAGTGTTGTGTGCTGACAGAGTGGGCCAGATGACGAAGACCTACAGCGACATTGACGCTGTCACTCGACTGCTGGAAGAGGTAAGATCATGTCCAGTGAAATCAGGTTGAAAGTAGAAAAACACAAGGACTGGAGTTCAGGCAGATGCACTGTGATGTTTTAATGTGGTCTGAACACAGGTTGTTTTATGGGGTTCATGATGAAGGAAGTTTAAATGATATTCAAATCTGACTGATTCACATCGGCTGCTCAGTGAACCCCAGACTGAGAAGCAGCAGGACTTTGCTACATCATAAGTAAAAGCTGTAAAGTTAGTTAATTTGAATGAACCATAAAATTTAACTGATGAATTTACATGGTTTGTTACCATCGACACACAGACTACAAGAACGTTTTCACTATGCAAAAGCTACATATCTGTACTTATCTCCATTAGAGTGAATGGTTCACTTCCTTCGAATTTCCAATAATAATATTTACACTTCAGGTTTAGGGTTTTGTTTTCCTCATGTGAAGTTTGGACATTGTGTTGTTTCCTCTGTTGTGTAATTCTTCCTTCCCCTTCTGTTTTACTGCTGCATGTCCTTTATATACATTTATTCAGAACACACACGACCTTCATTTAGTTTTTCTTATATTATTCACACAAAGAAAGTGACACATTAATCTCTCAAAATGTTAAATTAGTAATTCAATCGCTGTGATTTGTATTTGGGGCACATTGAAGAAAATAATTGGAGAATATAGTCATACTATACTCAGATGCAGTTTAATGAAAAGAAACACTAAAGTCTTAATATTATAAGTAACATATAGTAATATATTAAAATATATACTTTTTGTGAAAAAAAAGTAAATGTTTCGGCTGGAAAAAAAGTAGAAAACAAGCTTCAAGGAGAACTTGTGCTCGCCGGAGTTTCACTTCTTCCAAAATCTTCAACCAATATTGTTGTTTCCTGAAAAACTATGAAACCCTTTTGAATAACACGCATGTGACCAACAATGTCCCTGCAGTCAACTACTACCAAAGATTTCCTCCTCAACAGAAAAGTGATTTTCTCTATTAGTCTGTGTGGAGGTTTCTTCTAAATAGTTTGTTGCTCAGTCTTTTCAAAGTCCTGATACTTACAATTAGTTGATGCTGATGAGCCAAAATGTTCAGTATCTTGTTATTTGTGAAACCTACATCAAAGTATAACTTAACAAGATGCTCCACATTCCTCAATTTATTCTCATATTTTTGTTTTATTATCTTCTAATTGTGAAATTATTCTCTTAATATTATGACTTGTTTCTCACAATTGTTTGAATTTATTCTTGAAATCTCAGACTTTTTTTCTCCTTTAAGTGGCCCTAATGCTCAAAGTCAAAATGTTGCTGTTTATACACTGAACAAAACGTTGTCTGCGTGCAGAAAGAGCGTGACCTGGAGTTAGCGGCTCGTATTGGACAGTCGCTGCTGAAGAAAAACAAAGCCCTCAGTGAGAGAAACGAGCTGCTGGAGGAGCAAGTAGAGCACATACGAGAGGAGGTACACAGTGACAGTGTTTGTGTGTTCATCTTTGTCTCGGTATGTGATCGATAATAAAATGCCTTTACGCATATGTACATATCAGGCTTTTTATAGAATCATTCAAACAACATTACATTGTACAGCATTAGCACTGTAACCATCTCTCTTTCTCTATTTGTTTTTCAACACACAGGTATCTCAGCTGCGTCACGACCTGTCCATGAAAGATGAGCTGTTACAGTTCTATGCCAGCGCTGCCGAGGAGAGCGAGGGGGAGTCTACAACCTCCACACCGTACGTCATGTCTCCTTACATCCTCTGCTTACATCACATTTTCTCCTCTCTCCTCCTGAATATTATGCAACAAGGTTACGCAACTGAATTTAAATCTAATGCAAACAAACACATAAAAACGTTTTCGTAAAGAACATATGTTTAAATTGTGACTGTGGTGTGAAGTAAACCGATACAACCAAATACAGCTCAACTCTTGTGTGTGTGTGTGTGTGTGTTTCCAGTGTGCATCCCACTGAAACCACTGTTCCTACTCCAACATTTTTTCCCCTGGACTCCCTGCAGAAGAAACTCAAAGATCTGGAGGAGGAAAACAAATCGTTGCGATCTGAGGTAGAAACACATTCAATGATTTTTAATATATATATATATATATATATATATATATATATATAATTGGACATAAAAATTATCTGAAGAAGTGAATGTCAAACCAAAAATAATGATCATCATAATCTGATCCGTCACATTTTAAATTAGGAAGACAAACTTTTTATTTATAGGAAATAAATATAATCACAATGTTCCTGAAGTGTGTTTGTTTCAATTAGAAAGTCTAACATTCAGCATTTGTGGTATTGATCAGTACTATCTGTTTATTCTTCTCTGCAGGCCAATCATTTGGAGACAGAAACCATCTCCTACGAGGAGAAGGAGCAACAACTTGTCAATGACTGTGTCAAAGAACTACGTGAGTATTTGACTCACAGCCGCTCACTGGGGACTCTTCAGTGGTGTGAATCCCTCCCCCGCTCTCTGAGGCAGTGAGGCAGTAAAGAGGCAGCTGTAGTGGCAGGATCTCAGTTTCGCTGAGTCATCTGTTCTCGCTCCCAGGTGATGCCAACCTGCAGATTTCCTCTCTGGCCGAAGATCTGGCCAGGAAGTCTGAAGATGCCTCCAGACAGCAGGAGGAGATCACACACCTCCTCTCCCAGATAGTAGACCTCCAGAAGAAAGCCAAGCTGGTATGAAAACCCCTGGAATCTCTCACATTGTTGATACTAGTGCAGTGGCTGCAGTAGTGATGCTGGTTGCAGCTTTTTTTTCTGAAACTGTAAAAATGACCTCGAGCTGTGGCAAAATAAAGACCTGCTGCTGGACTCCAACCACAGAAGCCTGAAGCTGTGCCACTGCTGCTGCAGAGAGCTGTTCACCTGTTTATTTTAATTTGGTGACACTCTGCTCAGTACACAGAACGCCAACCTGGAGAATCAGGTTTATTGATATTGATAGTTTTTGCATATGAGACACGCTTTACTTCCATGGGCCTCTAACAACACACATGCAAAGAGACTTCACAAGAGTGAAGCCACAACATATGTAGGGCACATACAGACAGATGTTTCTGGAATTATTAGATAGATAAATGTACCGAAGTTACATATCTACTGCTAGGAAGAGGAGAATATGTAGCATCAGTAATTCCATGTGTCTCATTTATGCATGTTCTGTTTGTGCAACACAGCTGAGACTGTATGTTTAAGCTTCAGTATTTTTCATAGCAGTTATTTTGTTGCTGTATGTACAGTATGCCGTGGAGAACGAGGAGCTGACTCAGCACTTGGGAGCAGCCAAAGACGCCCAGCGACAACTCACTGCTGAGGTAAGGCAAACTACAACGTGCTGACTGGGACTTCACTCATTTAGCATCCTCCGCCAACACTTGATAACACTACATAGCACTACATTACTGTGGTTCAGTATAGACGTCCTCCGATATGAACTCGGGAGAATGTCCCTGAAATGGGGTCCGGGCTTTCTCTGGGTTTGCTTTTCTCATATGTAGAACACAGCAGGTGTTCAAACAACTCAGAAATCTCTGGAGCAGCATGCAGGAGGCAGTACATCGACACCAGCATCACCCCATATCAACAAACGCCCTCCAGTGTTATTGTATTCCTTAGTTGACATCTTGTCTGCCTCTATTGTGTGTAAAACCCTTTTTTCATTTTTTCTCAGTTTTGCATCTGACACGTTCTTTTAAATGTCACTGATGTGCCCACACGCTTGCGGTGAATCCCCCCTGATAACCTCCTGCTGTATTCTCTCATGCGCTCTGACATTATCCAAGGTTTTTCCTTTGAGGCTAATAAGAGAAACTCTGCAGCAACTGACTCGAATCTTTGCGTTATCACATACAAGCCCTTATTTCAGGAGATCATCTGGAGTTCACTGCTCGTCTGAAAGCAGCTGATTTGAACAAAAAGTTTTTCAAGACAAAGCTGAACTTTGCTTGAGCTTTTTGTTACACCAAGACATCACCATCTCCCGCTTTTCCCTCCTTCAGCTGCAGGAGTTACAAGATAAGTATGCAGAGTGTATGGAGATGCTCCACGAAGCTCAGGAGGAACTAAAGAACCTGAGGAATAAAACTCTACCGCTCAACACACAGAGGCGGTTCCACTCTCTGGGCTTGTTCGCGATGGTGAGTTATGGAGCAGATGGTGGCGGGAGGAGGGGCAACAGAGAGGCGGGGATGAAGATAGCATCAGGGAAGCTTCATTCATTCAAATTTTTGCAACCCTATTTGGTTTTTGGTGGCGTCATTAGAAAGTAAACACTGTCAACCTATGAGCCAGTACTCTCACTAGAGTTCCACAGTAAGTTATACTGTGTGATCCTTGGTCGTTGTAGACTGACTTTACTTTCCTACTCCTCCAGGACTCTCTGGCAGCAGAAATCGAGGGCACCATGAGGAAGGAACTTCAGATGGATGATCCGGACGTAGAAGAGCAAAGGTAAACCCAGTTTTTTAAAACCTGCCTCACCTTAAACAAACAATATTAAGATGTTAGGCAAAGTCATTCTTCACGACTTTGCCTAACATCTTAATATTGATCCATTTTGTTATTTAATGTCTTCATGTCTTTCCAGACTGCAACCAAAGCGTGTGTTCCAGACGGTGAAAAACCTCAACATAATGCGTCAGCAGCGTTCATCGCTAGCCCCCTCCCCACTCAACATCCCAGGGTCCAATCGGACGTCGTGCTTGACCTCGGGCCGCTCCAGCAGGGTGGGCACGCCGTGCTCCAACTCCATTTATGGTAGCGAGACAGGAAGTGGCATCATCCTGGACAACAGGACAAGCAGTATCCTGGAGAATCCAGATGACGGGTACGGACGGTTTGACTCTGCAACACACATTTTAGATTTTTTTTGATTTGTTTGATTAGTTTATACAATTTATTTCCTGTTTGTCTCAAGTAACTAATGGGAAGCCACTCACTTCATCAGAACTTGGATTTGTTTCTGTTTGTAGGTAACCTTGGTGTTTGTTGATGTGTTTCTATGGTTTATGTTAGGATAGAGTTACTTGAAAAAAAGTACAGAAAGTTTCAGATTTCAGCCGTTATCTCCAGCCTTTTATCATCTGTCAACACAAATCTACTGGGTTTTACAAAATACAACAGATGCACTTAATACTTTTCAGACTTTTCAATGAAACTTAATTCAAATTTGTCTCCTGCTTCAGGTTGGAGGACTCGAACAAGCGCCCCCCTGGCACCCCAGGGACCCCAGGCAGCAGGGACCTTGAGGCGGCCCTGCGGCGTCTGTCCCTCCGCCGCGACAACTACTTCTCAGAAAAACGCTTCTTGGAAGAGGACAGGGAGAGAAAGTTGGCCTACCTGGCCAAAGAGGAGGAAAAAGGTGGGGAGGGTAGCGGAGGTCCAGGGACCCCAACTGAAAGCCTGCTGTCGATGTGCTCACATCCCTCCTTTGGAAGTGTCTGGTCGGGATACTCCTATACTGCAAGATCCTACCTGCCGGAGAAGTTGCAGATCGTAAAGCCGCTAGAAGGTGATGATTCCTCTCAGAGTCACAGAACCAGTAGTCCATGTAATCAGAAAGAGAATCCAAATAACAATTGTCAGAAAGCCGACAAACAGAATCGAACCCAGAGTGTGGCACAGAATTCAAATTGTGTTCTTCTGCATCCTCCTCAAAGTTCTACTCAGATCTGTCAACCACAAACACACAACCTAAGTCAGGCCATTCAGAAGCAGCAACAGAATCAATATGTGATTTCTCATAAAGGACATCAGTCCAAAATCGTTCTCAGTGCCACTCACGATCCTGCGACACTGCATAAGAGCTGCAGTTTAATGGAGCTGAGCAGCATGTCGAGCTCACAGTCTCACCTCAGAGCCCCGCTGGCGTTAGTCACTGGCCTGCTGGATGCGTTAGAGCATCAGGAAGGCAGTCTGAATCTGCAGCACTCATTTTACTTCAGACATACACAACCACGCTGCTGGTTTGAAATATAGACTGAGAGACAGCCAGCTGTGTGCTGCTGGTCTGACACGTATAGTTTGTTAAAAAGTTACATTTTACAATTATGTGTTGTATATCTTTAATAAAAGCAGATTTAACTGGCTAAGTTAAGTTTAATCACACATTTTACAAATTGAACAAGTATAAAAAAAAAACATACCATAGAGGGTTGCACATTGCATAAAATGAATGTACATTAAGTTAACAGGGCTTCCTGGTGTTAAGGTCAGCACTTTACACTAACTTTGTAGTATGTGATATTTCAAATGGCACTTAATGTATTTTTATTGTATTGGTTTGTGCCTTATTTTTATAGAGGACCTTTATTATCCACAGTTATTTATTTTCATACTTTATTGGTTGTTGGGTTCGTACAGTTGACTTCTTATTATACTAGCTGTCAGGTGAATCTGAATATATTTCCTTTAACTGCAAAAATGCAATATTTGGCCTCTAAAGCATTCATCACAAAAATCATGTCCACTTGAGAAGGGGAGAAAAAGGTTTTTGTCCTGTGTTGTTGCACCACCTAGTGTTCAAACTGTTTAATGTGCCTCAAGACAAATAATAAATGTAAGTTTGAAATATAAAAACAAAATTGATTTTTTTAGTTATTATACAACTAATCATTCTGGCTGCTGTCAGAGGACTCTGACTTTCCCTTAAAAGTCAACATCAGAGAAGTATAAAACAAACTTAAGTACTGTCAGAGTACAGTATAAAAACAATCCACAGACTTCTTCATACATGACTTTGCTGTATGTACTGTCCTTTCACTCTTCTTTTATTCATCTTTTCCAGTTCTTCGTTCTGTTTGTCTTTTTCTTTGCACTTTCATTTCATTTTCTGCTCAACTTGTCTGTTTTCTTTCTGTTGACAGTTTCTTGAATAAAATCATACTAATTTTCTCATCTTTCCTTTTCTCCTTTCTTTTGTGTTGCTGTACTCACATCTCTGAAAGAATCTATGCGCATGACATGAGAAAACAACCACTGAAACCAGTTTACTCAATGCATCATACACTTCAGCATATCTACTGTAGAATGACATCATCGCCACATTGTGTGCATGTGTGTGAGCATGTCTCTACTATCAGCTTCCCTGTGTATGTTTCTGTTTTTATACAGTTACCAGCTGAACTTCATGTTCATCTATTGTAACACATTTAAACATAGCAGTGACATTTACAGTCAATATGACTACTTACAGTGTAGTGATCCTCTATGTTCAGCATATGACACTGTTATAAGATAAGCGGTTTAATGCAGTGAACTGAGACATTATCCAGGTCACTGAAGCAGTGTATGATAGTCGTCTCCCTTCCCTTGTTATCACGCACTGTGTGTAAGTCATTCCGTTCAGCATTAACAATTTAAAGAAGAATAGCAATGTGTGCCACAGCTACTTATTTAATCATAAATTGAGTTGTAATAATTTATATTGGTGTAATGAACACACTGCTCTCACTGTGGATTAAACACAGTTACCCTCTAAGCAGAGGAACACTGAAACCTTTTAGTCTGACATTTAAAGGTGAATTTAGTCAAATGGTCATTTGCAATTAAAATCACAATCTGTGAATACGTACTTTGTGTAACGTTTTTGGTATTTATTGACAAACTAGTATAAATGACTTAGAACCATGTCAATTTGATTTGCTGTACTCGTGGTTGAGAGCAGCTTTACATAAATTTGGATAACATCCACTTCCTCTCTCTATTGTTCCAGGCTCCGCCACACTCCATGCATGGCAGCAGCTGGCTCAACCCCACATGGGCGCTCTGCTGGACGATCGGCCTGGTGTGGTCACGAAGGGCTTCCGCACTTTAGCACACGAGCAGGGACAGGAAGACAGGTGGGAGCTGGACCAACCGGAGGAGGACGAGGTCCTGTGTGACTCCTTTCTTGACTTGTCAGAAGAAAGGGCCGCTCCTTTGGATCTGCCGTGCTTTACCTCTACTCCCTCCAACTGCTGCAACAAAACTAGCGACATCGCTGACAATAGCCAATTAGAAACATTGCACGGTGAAATGCGTGGGGCGAAAGAAGCGTTTCAAGCGAAAGACAGACACTTTGGAGCCATGCCCCTTTCTTTATCCAGCCTCTCCCCTTCCTCCTCTCCTCTCCCCTCTTCTTCCGAGATGATGAATGGGCACGTGGTCCTCAAGGAGCTCCAGGCCTTACAGCCTCCCACAGTGGATCGCATGCCTGGTGAGGGAGCCTTTTAGCTGGGGTCACACAGCACTGCATCCAACCCCCCAACCCCATTACCCTGGAGCATGGGGATAAAGGGGAGGGGGGGTTAAATAGGAGGGGTGGGAGGGTGAGGGAAGACATTCATTGAACATTTCACTTTCCCAATGTGACGTCCCTTCCTGCACGATTTCGCTCATGTGTACACCCACCAACACCCACCCGTCCCACCGGCAGACTGTGTGTGTGTGCAGACATCGAACCCCATCAAAACTGAGTACTTGTTATTTTTTTCTTTATTTAACTTCAACTCACGTCCTCCTCAGCTTCCTCCATACTTTCTTTCTCTTGCACACGTTGCTTTATTTCAACCAATCACATTCATTTTTCAGTCTTTCAACCATATCTTGCCAATTCCTGAAGATTCTCTTAAAACACCACTTCTCTCAGTGGTGACCTGCCGCAGACATTGTTTTTTAAGGTTCTTGCATAATTTGTTGAAATCACAATTAGAAGATAGGACATTATTACTAGGATGATTTATTATTTTCTTCGGAGTCACAACTCACACTAAAACACCAGTGGACCACTGACAAGTGCATGGATGCAGAAATATCATGGCTGAGCTCCAGTGTTTGCTGGTGTATGTGCATGTGGCTGTATCAGGTGTTAAAAGTGCAGCTGTCCAAGTCACATGAGCACATGACGTCCACAGCTGGTTAATACTAGACTTGACTCAGTGGCCTTGGTGTGGGGTCACCTTCATGCTCACTCTGGGCTGTCCTCGTCCAAACCAGGACAAACACAAAAGAAACAATGAACTCACTACAATTCATATAAATTGTGGTTGATTCTTATCTCCAGAGAGAATTATTAATTGTATATCTAAATTTAAATGTAGAGCATACACCTCCGCAAAGGCCCAACAGTCCCCTTATGAATCCACATTTAAATTCACTACATCGCGATTTTTATTTTTAATCTGCACCAAATTGTACCCGGTCATAAATGCCAGTCCCCTAAACATGCCTGATTTTTCCTAATCAAGATCCATTCATTATAATTATAATAATAATTATTCACACCAAAATGTATTGTTCTTCCCTGACCCATAGCACATCCTTCCACCAAGTTTCATGGTAATCCATCCAGTAGCTTTTCAGTAATCTTGTTAACTACAACTAATAGACAAACAAACATATGGAGTCCACACATCAGCAACATCAACATCATTCAAAAACAGTACATGTCTCATGTACTGTTTTAAACAAACATGCAGACCAAATGCACATACAACAGCAAATACCCAAGAGAAAACAACAGCAAAGAAAGAAAGAAACAAATCCATTAACACATTATTACACAAAAAGGAGTTGTACATAATTTATCACTTAGTTCCAAGGGATTGACAAACTACCCAAAATCCGAGTAAACAAGTTAGACTGATGACTGAAGGCTGACGACAGGCTGCCAGATTTTCTGAAAAAGTTCTTCTCACAACATTTCTATTCCAAATAGTGGAGGTGAATCTTTACTGACTCTGATGTTTTAGATAGATGTTTTTGGAGCGATACAAACTCAGAGGTTCAAGCTGTGCACACCTCAACACTGCTTCACTGTCAGTAATTTAGTCGCTGGGGCTTTTTTCTTGGGGCTGATGTTGCGGCTGGTTATTTTTCCTCCTCTTTGTTTCGTGCAGTGTTGTTTGGTTTCCTTTTTTCTGAAAACTAACAGCCTTTCCTTGTGCTCTCCTTCCAACCTTCTCCTCAACTTCAGTTAATTTCCCAGGGAAGTGTATGTCCCACACTAGCTCCACCTACACCTTCACCACCTGCAGGATTCTCCACCCCTCTGATCAGCTGACCTCAGTGTCCCCAAGGTAAAAAAAAACATTTCACAACCATTGTACTCTGTTATACTGCTTTGCTCCTGGTGTGTATGGCTGATGTTTGAAGGTGTAGTGAAGTACTTTGAACACATGATGGCAGCAAGCTATTTTTCACACACCCCCAAACCCTCTTTGTTTTTTGATGCCCCAGCAACTGGCTCATATGCTTTAATGTCCCTACTGTCTGATTGGCCCTGGCAGGTCATGTGATGAGGAAGACGAAGTGGAGTTGTATCACTTGGTTGTGATGGCCGGAGTAGAGCAGAACCCTTGAGTGCACACATTGGTGTGCACCTGGGTGAGGAAATGCTTGGGAGTGCGTTAGTAGAGATAGTGGGTGTGTATAAAACAAAGCTCTAACACGCAGGACAGTCACAGAAGTGTGGACCTACACATCTAATATTAACCATCACTGATCAAATTGTCAGGGTTTGAGTGTGGATGTTCATTCTTGACCTTTGCAAACTGCATCTGTTGCAAACAAAGTAAAAAGGTCGGCCTTGAACTTTAAAGCATATTTAATGGTCTTCATTCAGCAAACGAAGCTGGATCAGGTGTCATCACATGACTTTAATGTGGGGGTGTGCCCAGGTAATCGCACGTGGTCATATTCGGGACAGATTGTTGTCCCTGGGTGCCAGAAGTGGGGCTGCAGCACCCTTAGTTGTGAGGGAATGCAACTACAAAGCAAAAGGTAACTTAAAAATGGAATAATTAGAAATAGGCCTTATACCACAGCCCTCTCAGCACCCCTGACTCTGACTGGCTTCCAGCATCTCTGCCCCGGGTAAACTCTATTTCAGAGATTCAGCGCCAAACACAAGCAAATTCCCACTTTTGACACCGGTCTCCACAACAGCAGTGGGGAACACAACATCCCTGACACTGTGAGATAATAGTGTGTGAACCATAGTCCAAAGCCTGTCAGGGCATCACTTGGGAGGAAGTCAGTGGCTTGGAGACGGACAAAAGGCAGGAGAGAGATGAGGGTTATTCAAAAACAATCAAACAAGACAAAGGCTAACTTGTTGTCATGTGTCTGAAGGACAAGTTGAAGGTCATGTGATGACTCCTGAGCTGTACTGACTGGATGAAAACTATGAGGTGGAGTTGAAAGCTCTGTAAACCGGGAGTGGATCTTACAAACCTTACTGTGTGGTAAAGCAACACTATGCAACTTGTTTTAACCCAAAAAATACTACTACTACTTCTACTAATGATAATAATAATAAGAAGAACTTAATTGTATAGCACCTTTCAAAACAAAGCTGCAAAGTGCTGTGCAAAATCAAATGTAAACATCAATGTTAATATAAAAACAACACATTTTGAAAAATTGTGTAAATTCATGTGAAAATGTAAAGAAGACAGACTCCTTATAAACTACATTCACTGGTTTTGATATAGCAGCTTTGAAATGTGTTCGATGTTATACTGACTAAGGGTCAGGGAGTAATAGGGAGACCAGTGCACTCTTTCATTCCCAATTTCTGTACAATGTAACTTGTGCAAGAGTAATGCAGAACTGTAAATCAGTTGATCAAGTTATTAAAAATAGAGTTTATCTCCAATATTTGGCCAGGAAACTTAAAATATCAGGTATTTGTTACAGCAGCAGCACCACCAGTTCAGGAAGCCAGGGATCATAGGTAATATCCACCGCTCAGTTGTGTTTCAGTCCTGTGAGTGAGACTACACAGGTCAACAGACTGATATGATTAGGGGGGCGAAGTTTTCATGTCGTGAAAAACAAAGCCTTAGAATTAGTCCCCACATGGGGCTGTGGAGGGCGCTGTTGCTCAGTACAGTTGCTGTAACTTGTCCAATGTGGTCCTCAGTAAAAGATAACTCCCAGTGGTATTTGGCTGCGCTGAAGAATTAAATGAGATCTGTACTAATCTTCACACAGAAACCTTTTATAGTGGTGATGTGAGTGTGATGTGTAAATTGTGTTCTTGCATGTTTTTTATGATTGAAAGCCAACACCTGATAATTGATGTGCATCTGTGTCTGTCCCTGCCCCCACATTGTTTCTCATTTTCTTTGCATCCTATGCCCCCTCCGTCCTTTTCTCCTCCTTTCTTTCACATTTCCTCTTCCCTCCTTTATCCCTCCATCACCCCCTTCTCTGTGGTCACTCCTCCATCTTCAGCCCAGCTATATCTTGTTACAGCAGCACTCGTGGCAGCACCCCTACTTCCTCCTCTTCTCCTATACCCTTCTCTGCCCCATCTACACCCTCCTACACCCCCTGCTGTACTCCACGGCGCCTCTCCCTGTCTCTCTCCTTGGCTGAGTCCTCCACCAACCTGAGGGACTCCACCAAGACCACCAGCACCTCTCTCGGCCTCGTGCGCCTCCTGCTGGAGCATGGGATCTCTGCATCGGTGTATAACCCCCAGAGCTGGGACAGAGGATTGGTTTCCAGCGGAGCTTCGACACCCGATGGAAGAGCGCAGACGCAGAAGTTCACGGATGCACCAGGGGAGGCTGATGTCAGACAGATGAGGAAACGCCCAGACACCCTTCGCCTCCAGCCCTCCACCCCACCCAACTCCCCTCGCTCCAAATCGGCCGCCCCCACCACCACTTGCCCGGTTTTCCTGTTCAGTCCTTCCACTGATGACCATCCGTTCTATGACACCTTCCTCGCCTCTAAACCAGCTCGTACCATTCTGAGGGAAGTGCTGGCTGAGATGGAGAGGGAGCGAGGGGACCAGACAGATGACGAGAGCCAAACTGAGATGCTGAACCTACGCCTTGTGGACAAACTGAAAAGTTTCCGCACCCTTACAGCAGCAGCCTCATCTGGGAATGCTCTTATAGCTCCCTTTGGCTCCACTGGCCTGGGGAACAGCGCTCTGGGTGGGGGGCTCCCGGGACTGAACGCAGGACTGAGGAGGAATCGTAGCTATCCTGCCATGGTGGGGGCAAGTATGGCTATGAAGGACCCGGGAGGTCCCCCCAGCACAGAGATACTTATACCACACACAATGCAAACCCCAAATACACGATACTCGGCGCACAAACAAGAAACGGACAAAATACAAGAAACGGGCAAAATACAAACAAATCACACGCTGGTCTCAAAGCCCATACACATACCACAGACACTACACGCCCTGGAGACAGTCACACCACAGACAATAATACAGAGACACAGCAGGCCGACAAGCAATGACCGACACAGTGATGATGAAACTGTGACATAAATAGGCAATATTCAGTGTAATTACACATATTACTACACACAAACTCACAAGTTCATGACATGACTACACACACACACAAATAAACAAATATCAGACATCCTCCACAGTCCACTCACACACTCAACTAAACAAGTAGTCATCATTGATAAATCTGCTAATCAGATCACATTACAACTGATTGTTTCAAACCATAGACTCTACATAAAGATGGACGACATGACTTCTCCCCAAAAGTGAAGCCAAAGTGTCTCGATTGCCACCTGGTCGCTGGCTGCTGGCCGACTCCTCCATGTTAGTGGGTGGGACGTAAACCAAAAAGTCAAAGTTAAACATATTTTTTATCAAAAACTCGTTTGTCATTTTAAATAATTCTTCACAGTGATGTTTGATCAAGTGTTCATTCTGGTAATTTTGGTTTGAATGAGTTATTTCATGCCATAAAAACGTCAATTCCCCGATCGCTACTGCGTAGCCTCTGGCTCCAAATGTGCTAAATGGCAGCGTTTGTGATTGTGATATTTTCGCTTCATTTCCGGACAGTGGGAGGAAGTGGAGACGTATCGTCCATCTTTATTTACAATCTCTGATCCACATAAACAGTGAAATGGTGATGAATGAACCAGTAGTGGCTGAAACTGTTGCACTGTGTTATACTCATAATGTAAGGATAATGATGATGCAGTATGTTGCCTTCCTGTGGTCTTTGTACTTACATATATAGTTTATACAATATATTGTGTTATATATATATAGTATAATATTAAAGACCCAATCTAGTGAAAATACAAAATAGCTCTTTTCCCTCTTCAACCTTAATGAGTCCACTTTTGGAATAAAGGCAGCAAAATATATTTTAAATGTACTGTACTGACCGAATATAAGATTGTTTATTCATTGAGTTCATTCCATGACTACACAATTACACATCAAATCATGTGTGGTATGTAGGCCCAATGAGTCTTTCTATAACTTATCTAAAAAGAGAAAAAGGACAAACAACAAACATGATGTTTTTTTGTGTTTGTCTTTTGAATTAAAAAAAAAATCTGGTCTTTATAAAATCCTTCATCCCAGAGTTCAGTCTATGATACAAGCTGAGAGGTTTGTCTCAACATCAACCAAAGATGAATCAGAAAATCTCCTAAAAACATTTTCATCTTATATTTGCGCCACTATGGTATTTTGAAGCCTTTATTTTTTTGTGTCTATTGAAGTTATAAAATCACATACAGTGGTTAGAGATTAATTTCTACCAGCAACTCTATTTTTTCTCTCCACGAGTATGTGATATTTAGTTTGGGAAAAACTAAAATCTCGATTGGGGCTTTAATGTGACTGAATGCTCATATGTGCCTAAAAAGCGCTAACATACTTATTCTCATTGAAATATGAGTCTGCATACGTTTTAATTGATTAATTTTAATATTTGCCTCTTGTTAGATGATGTGCTGTTAAGGAAGTGAATGAGGATAATTTTTGCAAATTAATTTATGATGTCTAAACTTGCTGAGGGAGCTGCACACTCGTACCCTCATTTATGTTATGCTATTACTTTCTGGATCTTTTTTCTCTCAGTGAGTTTTGGCGAAGCTTTTCCCCTTCGTTTAGAAACCATACAAACATGTAGCACACAAACTGAATACAGATCCAGTTGATAAAACTTATCTTTTTCGTTTCCCATTTTGGGGCACCACCTGTCTTTGTATGCTAATCTAGTCTGTGTATAGACCAAGTTTGAGGAGGATGTAAATGGAAGGACATGGACTCAAAGATGCCAATAGAGCAAAATACTGAAGGGATCTGAAAGATCAGGAAGTAAACTCTGCTGCAGCCTGAACTGTAACTCAAAGCCAAAGTTACACCCAACATAAAAAGTGGGTTTGCAACAGATTTCCATCATAGATTCCCTTCATTTCCATACTGCTTGTGTATGCAATCATGCATTCATTTTGTCAACCTGTATGGGTGAAATGTAAAGCACTATTGTAAGCATCGGGAGACGTGTATTTTTCTGAATGTAACTGTAGGAAAAGTGATTTGAAGTATGGATTTAAGAACAAGATATTTTATCAAATTCTGTTGCTGAGGGGGAATGTTTGGTCCAGTTCCTGTGTCCACCCTCAGGATCATCCATCAGACATTTTTGAAACTTTTTTTGAAACTTATTTGGAATGAGATAAAAAAAAAAACCTATATTTTATTAATCCATTAACATCACTTAACCACACAGAGACACCTCTGTCCAGGTGAAGCGATTCCTTGTACCCTCAGGCACTCAGCCGGTCCTGTGGGCGGACACTGGGACACTGAGACACTGGCTGCTTGTCTGGCTGGATGAAAGGACGAATGGCTGGTGCTCACGCTGGCAGTGATCTGTTCAAATCCTTAATGATGAAGGGATTCAAGTTGCAATTTTATCTTGTGTGAGATTAGCGCAAATGAAAAATATATTTATTAAAAACTTGAATTGTTAGAGGCACACATATTATTGAATATCTATTTTCAACTGTGTCTGTCACATTTTGACTCATTTTTGATTGGACAGTTTTTGTTATTATTGTTACATGTTAAATATTCAGTTACATTTCCTTCATAACAGCTGAACATTTGGGAGAAAAATACATCAGACAACAATTGACAGTATTTAACAATGATATAGTGCTAATACAGACGCGACGAGGAGTGTGTGTGCCGTTTGTGTGTCACTTGAATCATCTGAATGTAAGTTATTACAAACTGCAATCCTGCTGGTCTTTGTCTACAGTATATTGATTTTTCAGCAGAGAGGGAATCTATGCTTACATTGTAAATGTATGCAACACATTTAGCCATGCTAACTATTGTTTTTATGTAACTAGAGAAATTGAGTTGTTTATTTTGAGTTAAGAGGGAAAGAAACTTTCTGTTCAGGTACTGAAGTGTTCTATTCTACAGAATAAGAAAATAAATACATAAACACTGACTTGTTTTTCAGGGACTGAAGTGTTCTATTCTACAGAACAGATGTACTGTCAACAGCTTTGACATGATGTGAAAGTTTTTACTGATGTAAGTCTGGTTCATGGATATTGATTATATGTTCTTTGAGAAGGGGTTTCTTGGTTGTCAACCCTGTCACCCACCTCATCCTTGTTCACCATAATGTACACTAAAGGTAGGACAGTGGTCTTAGTATGACTGATGGAAACAGCTCTTTGAACCTTTGTTTGGGCTGATTGTTATTTTTTTGTCCACCTTTAACCATCTTCCCTTTCTCCCCCATGGATTTTAACGCAGCTCCAATTTTCTATCAATCTATTTGATGCTTAGACCCCTCGTGGGGGAGGGGGGTTGCAGGGAATCACTGGAATAACAGCTGACCGACAGAGAACAGACTTAAAGGTTTGGCAGCAAAGGCTGATTGAGATCAAAGCGAAATCTGATTGGATTGTTTCAACAACCAACAGCCAGCTGATTGGAAGAGGTGGGGAGAGAGAGAGAATTGTGAATGAACCCATGCTAAGCTTCATAAAAACCTAGTTCATGCCAACATGAGTGAACCCTTTGGAATGATATACATGTATTTTCTTGAACTGTGGTCAGAGCTTCATCAAGGCTAAATTATAATGATGAATCCATTCTGCAATCTGCTAGTCAGCATTTACCAAATCTGTCCAGTCAGTGACATAAGACTAGATGTGAGTTATTCTTATAAACAGGAAGTGTCTGCTGATGGGAGCCCTGCCTTGCACAGATGAGATAAGGAGTACACTAATATTTGAATTCATACAACAGGAAAGAGTTGCAAAGTCATCTAACAGAGCTTATATATTTATCAGTCCACAAATTCTCTTTACTGACCAACTGAAAACCAAGGGTGCTTCTTCAGTTAAGACCTATCGTCTCTGGCACAGCCTCGTGCCTTGAGCCAGGTATTTAACCTCTGTGTGTCTTCACGCACCCTGAGTTGTTATGTTAAAGATGCAGGTTCTTGAAACCCCAGCCCAAACAATGGGTGTAGCAGGACACCTGAGTGTAAATAACTAAACTTAACCCACCCTGCTATTCTGTGAAAACAATTCAACCTCTTGAGTGAGTGGTGAAAACATTTCAAGAAATAAAAGTAAATCCAGTGGCCTATATATACTAATACAATATACAGAATGACTTCAACCAGAGAAAATCCACCTGTTGGAGTGAACCAGTCAGAGGCTGTCAGACCTGAACCCATGGAGATAATGTGGAATGTGAGAAAAAGAAGTTTTTGGTTGATGTAAAATCTCCATTCATAAATAGTCTAATATAGTGATATGATTATTTCTGTGAATAACTAAGAACACAAGAAGAAACTCTATCGATTCCAGCTTTACTCCACAGGGGGGCAGTGTGTCTCAAATAACAAGACTGACAGCTGGTGTAAACACAAACTTCAGCCAGCTCCATAAGCCTGGAAAAGACAGCAAAGACAGCAGCCTCAAAAGATTAAGAAATGCACCCAGTGTTGGTCGAGTAAACCCATACATGCTGGCATCAGAGTGAAGCCATGCAGAACTTTTTCTTCTGCTCTCTCTCGCACGACTTGACACAACTGAGTGTTTCTTCTGTCATTAACGATTCTTAATGGTGCAAAAGAAGTATTATTATTCAGCAGTTTAAGTTTGGAAACTGGCTTCCAATATGTTTTTTGTTTCAATATGTTACTGCTTAGGTAAAACAGATGGGGGGAGAGAGAATGTAGGCTGTAACATTATGTGCCAACGTGATTTATCATGATTATCTCTTATTTACTGAGTAACGACCCAGACTCCAAAACTAGAAGTTGTGAAAGTAGAGAGAGAGAGCGAGAGAGAGGACAGGGAGGTGACAATGACGAGAGGGGACAGATGGATGCGCAGAACTGGATGATTGTGAAATGGTTTTCCATGCTTACTTGGACTATCAGGTGTGTGTGTGTTCCCCGAGGGAAATGAGAACATTCTGCAGAGTTGAGTCAGCCAGGACAGAAAAGTAAAGAGATGGATGAAGAATGAGATGATGGAGGACAGAGAGGAAACTTCATTCCCTGGCATGTCTCAGATAGATTAATGTTGGTCAATCCCATAGTTCTTGTCTCATCTGTTGGATGGTAATCAGATGGAACAAAATGATCAGATGAGAGGACATCATGGGGGGAACATTAACAAAACAAATCACAGAAAAAAAGGTTAATCATCTCCTTGAAGTAAGATACTCAGAACAATTAACGTCAGCTCAGGAGTAAGGTTCACGTCAGAGCTGCAGTGATGACGTCCTCAGAAGGTGAAGACCTCCAGCAATCACCCTTCAAACGGTGACCAAAGCAGGCCTGAGTAACCAACCGGAACACTGCAACAAACCTCAAATAGAGCTTTTAAAGACTTTATTTCCATTCCTCCATTATCTACAAGCTACAGCTTATCCTTTTCGAGAGTCTCGGGTGGAGCTGGAGGAAATCCCAGATGAGTTGGGCGAGAGGTGGGGCACACAGGGCTCACATTCACATCTACAATCAATTTAGGTTCACCTTACCCACAATCTGTATGTCTCTGGACTGCGGGAGGAAGCCAAAGTACACAGGGAGAACATCCAAACTTCAGAAAGACCCAAAGTACACAGGGAGAACATCCAAACTTCAGAAAGACCCAAAGTACACAGGGAGAACATCCAAACTCCAGAAAGACCCAAAGTACACAGGGAGAACATCCAAACTCCAGAAAGACCCAAAGTACACAGGGAGAACATCCAAACTCCAGAAAGACCCAAAGTCCAAATCAGGATTCAAACTGGGAACCTCCTTGCTATGAGGCGACGGTACCATTGTGCTAGCATTGTCACTGTGAGCATGTAAGCATGTTGATGTTGGTATATAGCAACGTTTTTGTTTCTGCAGGACACTGTACATGTATGATATATGCAACGTTCTTATAAAGATGGCTGTTTATTGTACTATATGAGCTGGGAACATCCAAAAGGGAAGTACGTCTATCTCCATCGCTCACCTCCGCTGTGTTTCCATTTTATAGCTTTTGCATGTCTTTTGCAGTCATTATAACATAATTTTCATTCGTTTTGCATTCAAGCTTCCTGTTGGGCTTGTGGGAGACATCTCAGTCACCAGCTGAGACTCATTTGGTTGAGTGCCAGTATCGGTGGGACCTCGCTGCCACGGCGTCGTCCTCCGACTGCTGCCACTCTCCAAATGTGCAAGATGGTGGCGTTCGTGTCTGTGATATTTTAGCTTCTTTTCTGAAAAGTGGAATGAGGTTCGACTAAGTTTATATACTGTCTATAATGTGTATGCTTTCATTTTATTTTTGGGCTGACTGTTTCTACAGTTACTCATCAAACCTCCAGTTTGACCAGTGCACACATTTCTGTAGAATTTAGAGTCAATTGTAATTTTTTTGAACTAAGCTTTTTGCCTTGGGACATTCACTTCGTTATCACCCATCATCCGCACACAAAGCAGCTGTAGGGTTTAAAGTGCAGCCATTAGAGGTTTCCCAGTTCAGTGTAAACATACAATATGAAACATGTTCTCTGGTCAACAGGAGGTAATAAATCTCTGAGAGTGAACATGTGAGACACAGGGTTTCTTTGATGATTAAGTGCAAGTGCATGTGTTCGACATAGTAGTAATTGCATGACTGAGAATGAATGTCAGTATACCAAATATATATTACTTGACATTGCTCACCATTACTCTTGTGTATTTGTTTCCTGGCAATCATAAATATATGTTTTTTTCACTCCTTAAGAAACCATGTTTGCAGTATTAAGTTTTCATTAAAACACATTGAAGTTCTATTTTATTTAAGTAGTAGGCTGCCAGACTGTTACCATTACTGCCTATGTATATCTCTATACGATTTTATATTTCTTATATCTCTAGTTTTATATTTTAAGTTTTATTCTTGCACTGTTTTCACTCTTTTTTTTCCATACATGTACACCTGCTGTAGCATAATGTACAGGCTATGTTAGTCTAAAAAAGTACTTTGTATAGTTTCAGTTATTTATCTTTAAATCTTTAATTATTTATTATTTAGGCTCAATTACTTCTCTCACCTCAAATTTTCAATTATCTTATAACCACCCATCTTGTATTTTTAGTATCAATATCACATTGGCACATATTTCTTTACAGTAACAGTCTTTTAGTAGCTCTGGTGGTTAAACTTTCATCTCACTGCAGATTCATTGTACCTATTCTTGACTTATAGTCACTCTAGTATTTATCTGAAGAACATGGGTTTCTATAGATGCAGCTGGTCATTTTAACATTTTGAAGGTGCTTGGGCGAACGCCTGCAAAAGTAATGAAGTTCCCTTCCTTGCTATTTCCAAAAACAGACAGAATAACAAAGTAATCTCTGCACAGCTTGGCTGGATGTTTATCAGTGTCTTTGGGTTCTTTCAGCCTGACTCACTGAATGCATCATCTGACTCAAGTGACACCAAAAGTCAGGCATTTCAGAAGTTTCATAACTCCACATATACAGTCGAGTTTCAACTATAATGTGCACACAGTTCTACAGCGCTCTCACTGCCTTACTAGGGTTCATCATGTTTCCTTCTTGTATAATTTCCCTGGTCACCTCACTCATTTCTTCTGTGTTTGAATGTACAAAGACAATAGTAGCGGGACCTCTTGTTAGTTAACCCCAGAGACCCTCAATCATATTATATTGCTACCATGCAAACATGAATATTTAATACTTATGCTTCAGAAATGTTCCTCTTGATAACATTTTAAAGTTGGTTTCCCCTTCAGTTTAATGAAAATCTTTCACTTTATGGTTGAGTTTGCTCCAAACTTCATGAAACATCTTCAACACACATCACATGAAGGTCTAAGTAATTACCATTGAAGGAGGATACTGACCTGCTTTATAGTCTTAGCTTTTGTATCAGGATATTTTAACTTCATTTCTGGATAGTGGGAGGATGTGGAGATACGGCATCAATCTCTTTATACAGTCTATTATATAAACACCTAAACTACTGCCAGTTTT